TATATATATATATATATATATATATATATATATATAGAGTATTGTAGTAAATCTTTTATGTTATACATAACGTTACATTTCGTATCTTACTTTTTATCTTGAGCTGGCTCAGCGTCTTTTTCCCTTTGCAATTCGACGAGACTGTGATAAACTCGGTGGCGCCATTCTTCATCGCTGGGCAATATCAATTTTTCGAGTTCTTTGTTACGTAGCTCTTCACTAAGAAGACTAAAATTCGGTATCTGCGCCGTAAGAAGAAGTCGAAATATCTTTGCGTAGAGCGTGAATATACTAGTTTTACGAATCTCGGTGCCGATGACAATTTCAATTTCAACATCGTCGAGAGACTTGCTAGAAGAATCGCTAGTCGACATTGCTTTGCTAGTGGACTCCTGCGAGAGCATCCGACACTCCTGAGACAGTCGATCCTGAGAAGTGTACGTCGATCGCACCACGAGAATTACGATTGCTTCGATGCAGAGCACCTCGTCATGGAACAAGTCAGAATGGATTCTCCAATCGAAATTATTCAATTATTGATCCTTAGATTTCTATTGAATTTTCGAAGGAAAATGGAATAATTCGATTGGATTCCGATTGGAACTCATTCAGACATACGTTTCATGCATGATAAGTTCAATAATATCCAAGTATACCGCCGTCAGACAATGCAGATCGTGCAGACTGCTGAATATACCAAGAAGGAAGCTTAACAACGATGAGCCAAGCACGTTAAGTGAAGGAAAGCACGCTTTAAGAGAAGCACAATTACAACTTGTCAATCAAGAGGAGCAATCCAGACAGAAGTTGAGAAGCGCGCATTTAAAATATGCGGCACGCGAGCAAAAACTAGCTTTTATACTTAATTGCTAATAGCACGGTGTACCAGCAAGTACCTGCAGCAATTGTTCGCTCGCGACGCAAACTTTTTTTCTCTCTCGTTGCCGTCGTGACCGCAACCTGGCCCTGGCAATCGTCTAACGAAAAGTCAAGAGAAGACTGAAGATACCAAGTCCGGGTCGTCCGTGTCGCGCGACATCGCGTGCTTTCGAAGCGTATCCCACGAAATTGCATCTTGGAACTCTCTTATCAGGTCGAAAACGACTATTTTTACGCTATCACCGTTAGAGTCGTCTCTATTAAACATAGCATATATACCCTTTTCTTTCTATCAATTGTCTGTCCGTCCCCGTCCATTTGTGTATCACTGGATATTATCAAAATTGCAGTGAAAATGTTGAAGTTATACAAAGATATAGTATAATAATTATTTAAATTCAACAAATATAATAATGTTTTCCTGAGAAGATAGATACGTTTATTTTTGTTCGTTCCTTAATATACGTGCATATATATACATATATGTACTTATATCTCAAAGTGTCGTCAGAACTATATAGAACTGATTAGAACACGCGATATACATGATTATGAGAAAATACAACGTAAGAAAGTGCAAATAATTTTATTAATTTTACTGCTTTTGCTGATTTTACTTTTAATTAAGAAATAGCATTGAAATAGTACCGCAAACTAGTCTAGATTTGAATAGTCAAAGTTACGATCGATACGAGTGAAAAATAGGCAGAGGGAAAAGAATATCTAAAAGAATATTCGCGCTGGCGCGCGATATGCCTTCTTCTCTATACAATACATACAATTTATTGCGTATTATATAAACGATATTCAATGATCCCGTATCGAATTGCGCCTCGTGCACGGCCACGCGAGATCAAATATTTTCACTAGACAAAAAGAAAGACAATAGACAGCTGTCACGTACATGCCCGATCGATCATTTCAGAACGACGGCGGCAGGTACGATCGTGCTGTTGACACAATTCCAAAGGAGTAAGAAGCAAACGGCTAACATATCACGTTATATGCATCGCATATAATTAGGATACCAGATGCTTTGATGCTATATTATATTATTAATTTTAATTTATATTTTTTATAAATTCAAACTCGTTACTTCAACTTGTTACCATCTTTTAATTCTTTAAAATCTCCTTTGTTCTGTACATATTAGAAAATATGATGATAAATTGTATTAGAGGTTGATGATGGGATTCTCCGTTCATATGCTTTGTAAGAATAAGTAAAAAAACACATGATTGACATATACTTATTTAATAACATTGTTACAAATTAAAATTGTAAGATAAATATTATTTATATAAAATATATTAACTTTATACGAATGTAAAAAGGCACGATACTACATATACTTACAGTTTATTCTGGTGTGTGTGTGTGCGCGCGCGCGCGCATGCGTGTGTACATGTGCATCTGTGTGTAAAATCTTCTGTTTTAGCTGTACATTTTTACATCTCTTTCTATATTTCACATTTGTCGGATCGACTACTTATTAGTTTAAAAGAAAAAAAAAAAAACTAAAACTTAATAAAATGTAAAAAGTACAGCTAAAAAAACTAAGATCAATTACATTAAATTAATTTTTATAAATAGCTCTTCAATGGCAGTTTAACAAGAATCACTTCCCGATTGTTAGAATAATTAGACTATCAACTTTAGTAATACAACATTTGCGCGTAAAGCTAATCGATTGAATACATCAATTTTATTAATTCATTCCCTTATACTTCGTAAAGAGATTATATAACACGCGAAGCGTAGATTTCAGATCCAGATTTACGATATCTGTAAGAAACGTTTAAACGTGTAAAATAAAAAAAGATTGTAAGATTAAAATGTTAGCGACTAGTTGTCGAAATTACAAACCTTCAGGACGAGCTTTTGGTTTTGCTAATCCAATATCTCGCATAATATCAAATGCAAATAAAACATTATGAACTTTTTGATCAATGGTTCTTGGTGTCAAATGAAAGCTGCCTAATGGAACAAAGAAACCCTCCAAGAGACCAAGCAGCAGAATTAAGAAAACACCATCGTGGAATTGAGTATCCAAATCAGTTAGTTCCAAATGTACTTTGCTTAAATGCTTATTAACAAATGTTACCAATGACTGAAAAAGAAGATTGATAATAGAAAATCATGTCTCAAAAAGGAGAACAATAGTCGCAAATATAATCACCATAATAAGCTTACTTTTTTTACAACGGCCAATTTGTCAGGTGCGTGATCGAAAAGAGTATCAAATGCATCACGCTCACAACGCATACCCAAATCGTCATATGTTGTCGTTAGTTCTTCTCTTACTGTTCTATGTATCAACTGACCGTCCTTTTTACGTACTACAACTACCTGAACAGCAACTCTTTCTGGCAATCTAACGGGAGCACGAAAGAGCCGTGCTAGACCAACCAGCAGATGTAAAATTGCAACGATATTTTTTGAATGTACAGATTCAACGCTCCATTTGTAGGGTGGATATCGACCCAGGACACGATTAGCAGTGGACAAGA